CACAATTTACTCGTGAACTAATTTAGGCTTACCTACACAAAGAGGCTGAATACTTACGCAATTACTATATTTTAGTTATCAAATTTTTATTAATCTATTTTCTTTTTTACTTTGACATTACAGAGTATTTTGAGTTCATTGTTGACAACGAATGACAATTAAATCAATTTATTCCCACTTTTTAACACAATACATTTTGATGAAATACAAGGGGTATGAATACTTTTGCAAGGCACTGTATGCTTACAGTGTACAGTGAGGGAAAAAAGTATTTGATCCCCTGCTGATTTTGTACGTTTGCCCACTGACAAAGACATGATCAGTCAGGTTTATTTGAACAGTGAGAGACAGAATAACAACAACAAAATCCAGAAAAACGCATGTCAAAAATGTTATAAATTGATTAGCATTTTAATGAGGGAAATAAGTATTTGATCCCTCTGCAAAACATGACTTAGTACTTGGTGGCAAAACCCTTGTTGGCAATCACAGAGGTCAGACGTTTCTTGTAGTTGGCGACCAGGTTTGCACACATCTCAGGAGGGATTTTGTTCCACTCCTCTTTGCAGATCTTCTCCAAGTCATTTAGGTTTCGAGGCTGACGTTTGGCAGCTCGAACCTTCAGCTCCCTCCAAAGATTTTCTATGGGATTAAGGTCTGGAGACTGGCTAGGCCACTCCAGGACCTTAATGTGCTTCTTCTTGAGCCACTCCTTTGTTGCCTTGGCCGTGTGTTTTGGGTCATTGTCATGCTGGAATACCCAACCACGACCCATTTTCAATGCCCTGGCTGAGGGAAGGAGGTTCTCACCCAAGATTTGACGGTACATGACCCTGTCCATCGTCCCTTTGATGCAGTGAAGTTGTCCTGTCCCCTTAGCAGAAAAACACCCCCAAAGCATAATGTTTCCACCTCCATGTTTGACGGTGGGGATGGTGTTCTTGGGGTCATAGGCAGCATTCCACCTCCTCCAAACACGGCGAGTTGAGTTGATGCCAAAGAGCTCGATTTTGGTCTCATCTGACCACAACACTTTCACCCAGTTCTCCTCTGAATCATTCAGATGTTCATTGGCAAACTTCAGACGGGCCTGTATATGTGCTTTCTTGAGCAGGGGGACCTTGCGGGCGCTGCAGGATTTCAGTCCTTCACGGCGTAGTGTGTTACCAATTGTTTTATTGGTGACTATGGTCCCAGCTGCCTTGAGATCATTTACAAGATCCTCCCGTGTAGTTCTGGGCTGATTCCTCACCGTTCTCATGATCATTCCAACTCCACGAGGTGAGATCTTGCATGGAGCCCCAGGCCGAGGGAGATTGACAGTTATTTTGTGTTTCTTCCATTTGCGAATAATCGCACCAACTGTTGTCACCTTCTAACCAAGCTGCTTGGCGATGGTCTTGTAGCCCATTCCAGCCTTGTGTAGGTCTACAATCTTGTCCCTGACATCCTTGAAGAGCTCTTTTGTCTTGGCCATTTTGGAGAGTTTGGAATCTGATTGATTGCTTCTGTGGACAGGTGTCTTTTATACCCTTTAAGAGTGTGCTCCTAATCTCAGCTCGTTACCTGTATAAAAGACACCTGGGAGCCAGACATTTTTCTGATTGAGAGGGGGTCAAATACTTATTTCCCTCATTAAAATGCAAATCAATTTATAACATTTTTGACATGCGTTTTTCTGGATTTTTTTGTTGTTATTCTGTCTCTCACTGTTCAAATAAACCTACCATTAAAATTATAGACTGATCATTTCTTTGTCAGTGGGCAAACGTACAAAATCAGCAGGGGATCAAATACTTTTTTCCCCTCACTGTACTTGATCACTCACAAGCAGCATTTCATAAAAAAAAATCAATGCTTCAACTTAAAAACAACTCCAAGTGTATTTTGAATTAATACTAAATTACAATTAAAGCATTTGAAATTGAAGTACAGTTTTAATGAGTGTGTTTAAGTTTAATGATAGTGAACATATAGTATACTTAAAGACTGAAAAACAATTAATTTAAAGTATACTTTTAATAAGTGTATTGGAGTGTGATGATAGCATATTTATAGTATACTAAAAGACTGAAAAAACTATTAATATAAAGTACACTTTTAATAAGTGTATTGGGGTGTAATGATATTATTTTTAGATTATACTTTAGATATACTAGAAAAATACATCTCGTATTTGAAGTATATTATTGACATTTTTAGTATATTTAAGTATACTTTAGTATGGTTTAAATATATTAAAATACACTTTTTTTCCCACTTGGGTAGATAGAGATCGTGACAGAAAGAGAGGGGGAATGAGTAAAAGTGAGAGAGGGGGAGAGAGAGAGAGAGGACAAGATAAGCAAGGTGATGAGGGGTTAGTAGTAAACGGGAGGCCACCTTACAAAGACATGCTGGGGTCACACTATTCTAAAACCTCCTTACAATGTCATTGTGTCGAGCAGAGCAGGACTAAGAGAGAGTCATTGTTACAGAAGTAACTATGGGTCTGGCACGAAAAAATGTAGTCCTGAAAAAGAGAGAAGACGAATAGAGAAAGAAGAAGGATAAGTAAGTGTGATGTGTTTGACTCAACTCGTTTCAACACACACTCACTCTTATGACGCCCACTTAGCCTTAACCTCACCCTCTTTCTTATTTGTCTCTCTTTTACTTCATCTTTTTATATCGCCCATCATCTATTCGCTGTAAGCTTCTCTGTGCTGTCTCCTTACTGTTGTTAGCTTCATCCAATCAAATTAAAATGTACATTTCCAAATAGAGAAGAAAAGAAAGACATTTAGAGGAGATTACAGAGTGGCACAATACCAATTCAATGATTCTGAAACCATGTCGTCTCTAAATCTCTGTATCGTATTTCCTGATCTCAAAACATCCTTGACAGTGTTCTTCTACTGTTCACCTTACAGCTTACGCCACCAAGCTCCCATAAGTACATACAATTGTGTGCTTTTTTGGAAAATGTGCTCCTCAATTCTACAAGAACTAGATTGATACTGTTAACAGTATAGCTTCCTCCACTGTCCCTGTCCCCATACCGGGCTCGAACTAGTGATCCTCTGCTCGTAACAACCAATTGAGCTATAAAAAAAATCGACTTCGATAGATCCATTGGCGACATTTCAAGCTAGCTGTGGAGTGAGCTTCAGCAAGTTCTTAAAGCTAGAATCCTTAGTTGCTATATCCATTTTTGGACTTATAAATCAATGATATAATACCCATTGATTCTTGAAGAATATAACGTATAAATGTTTCATGAGCTTAGTTCGATTGTCATACCCCATCAGATCCCAGAATATAAGCTTGTTTTACTTCAATGGTTGTAAACACTGTAAATGTAAACAAACACTGTGTAGCCTCAAAACATAGTTACAACTATGCTTTTGATATCATGGATGGTCAGTCCTTGCATCCATAGCTCTGTCTATGAATTTGAGAGTGGTTACATTTCTCCAGTCCCATCCATCAGCTTGTTAGCAAAACAAAGGCGGGGTGACGCTTTGTTATTTTTTCAATTAAGGACTCTAGCTTGAACTCTGTTACATGTGAAAACTGGTAACCTCTTAGACGTCATCTAGCGTAGCAATACTTTGGTCTTCATCTCTCCCTCTCTGCCTCTCTCCATCTCTCCCTCTCTCCATCTGACAGACACACAACACACCCCCTCATTTCTTTGTACCCCCAAAACGTCACAAAGGGAAAGATATCTCACATACACTCACCAACACAAATAACTTGATATATACTTGTCCTGTCTCCTTTTGTAACTCAACATTTCACTTCATTCAGATTTTTTGGAAAGCAACCCAATATTACATAATTTCCCAGAGAATTCTACACGGGTAAATTAGGGATGTTGTTATTCAGTGTGTGGCTCAATTCTATCGATACCACATTGGAATTTCAGAAAGGATAAAAACATTAATCCAGCGTTTCATCTCCTAATACGTCTACATAAAAACATTTCACCTTCGAAAAACGACACAATTCACTTAGCAATGTGAAAAACAATAAAATACATATGCTACATAAAGTCATGATGACAGTTTCATTAATTACAGTATAATATGACTTTGCACCATTAACCAATGTAAACCATGAGTGCCTGGTAGACTTAAGGGAATTGCATTTGACCTAAATGGATGGTATTGGAGCAGATCCCCTCTAGAATGAAACATCAAAGGTTATTTCAGGACATTGATGAAACCTAGCCACAGCACAGCTGCAAGAGTATACAAATCCAGTACAGCAAATATCGATATACAGAGAGTAGCAGTCTTTCTTGAGCATATAAACCTACTCAGATAATATTGGCAAGGATATTGTCATGCAAAATTCAATTAGCAAAACCATTGAACAGCTCATTGTCTGTTTGAACTGTTGAATATGAAAACTAACACCTACCAGACAGGATACATGGTATGAGGCCCAAATTAGACCCTATTCCCTGCATAGTGCCCTATGGTCCCTGGTCAAAAGTAGTGCACTACACAGGGAATAGGGTGCCATTTGGGATGCAAACCGAGACTCCTTGTCCTGATCCTTTATCTTTTAATTATCCGTGTCATTGTACCCTTTCAAACTAGAGGAGGATAATATCCCCTTTATCGCTGTAGCTTTGAGCAGCCTTGCAGAGACTCACTGAGCAAGATGAGTCACCATAGAAGTCATACAAAAGCCAAAGTAAACTTGAGTGATATTTAGACCTGAGGTCCTAGGTGAGGTGATGGTTCTCTTCTTTCACCAAGTCTCCACATGTTCTCAATGGCAAACCTGAAGATTGCATTATATTGAAGATTGTATGGTTTGGTAGAACTATCATGTCCATTTTGGAGTTCAATCCATTTTGCTCCGCTAAAGCAAAAATCGATGTCTCATTTAAAATGTCTGCTATGGTTGAGGAGGATGCCATTGTATTCCCTTGGGCAGCTCCTCAATCATTTGAGCTTCGCCTAGGCCCTGCATGCATGCATGCACCACACACACACACCTTAATATCATATCTCGATCAGATTATTCTCCTCGTCAGGCTCTGGCTCCGCTGCGGTAGCTGTCTCCTCACTCTCTGCCTCCTGCCCTTCTGACTCTGTCCTTCCAGGCCGGTAGACAAAGTAGAAGGCCTTGCGGGGCTCACTGTGGTGGAGACTAGACTTGATGGTGAGGGGGAACTCCTCAGGGGCCAGGGGCTGGTAGTGGCCCTCCACTAGCACACTCAGGCTGTAGAATAGAATAGAATAGAATAGAATAGAATAGAATAGAATAGAATAGAATATATACTTTATTGTTCATTTTGTGAGAAAGGGAAATGTGTCTTTTGCCTACATCAACCACCCCAGAAACATACACATACAGTATTGACAGGCACAGGGTCAGTCACAGATCAGCGCGCCTGGATGGAGATGGAGTAGTGTTTAGGGGTTAAATGCCTTGCTCAAGGGCACAACGGCAGGAGAATGTACCTGTAGGACTCTGGCTCCAGCACTTCAAACTTGTCAGCACACTGGGCACACAGATCCTGGGCCGTGGTGGTGGGGTGGACTCCCAGGGTCTTAGTGTTAGACCCCGCCTCCAGGAACGACACGTTGATGAAGTCCTGGAATGGGACCAGAGCAAAAAGCGGGAGGACATCAGATTTTTGTAATGCCAATTACAATTTCAAAGAATACTTATATAGTCATAATTATCCAATATCACAATACTGCAGTGACATATTGTATTCTATTCATATGGTGGCCCAAACGGACCTGTACAGACGAGCATGACAGCCGGGCCTTGTTCAGGGTGCGTCTCTTCTCCCAGCGGTGGATAGAATCCTGGATCTCCAGACTGAGCTGCTGTGTCACCGCCTGCTTGTCATAGTTCTTTATGTGCTCCAACGCTCCATACGTGGTCGTCAGGTAGTAGGAGCCTGGTGACACACACACAAAAGATAGTCACCATTAACAGGGGTACTATCTGTGTGTTTGGGTACAGTGGTTAATGTGTGTGCGTGTCCGCGTGTGTGTTTGCGTGTGGGCTGTGTATGTGATCTTGCCTTTGTGTGTGTGTGTGTGTGTGTATGGCATTTCGTTTGTCCCTACCTTCTCCTAGCTGTAGTGCAGGGTCCATCAGCTCCATCATGTACTCTACATCCAGTAGCAGGAAGGCCATGTTGCTCCTGGCCAGGACGTACATCAGCACTGGGAGGAAGTCATCTACGCCATGGGCTCTCCCTGTCAACCGTCATCTCAATCAGTTCACGCGACAGTCAGGTATTTGTAGACACTGGTGTCGTCAGGCAGTAATGATCAATCATCATCAACTTCAATCTGCACTCTTATACTAGCCTTGATTTCCATGCTTCCTGACGTTCGTTTGGAGGTAGTCGAGTAATAAACAAGACTTGGGAGGATGGCATTGTGAGACTACTGTTACACTAGCAAACATGACAAAGATCATTATAATTTAACCACCAAAATCTACCAGGCAACAAAGACAGTGCCTCACCTGGGCAGCCTATAGACATGGACTCATATATGATCTTGCAGGTCTTGAGGAGCAGATCAATCTTCTTCTGAGGGGAGTACTCCAAGTGGAGGGTCATCAGCTTCAGCTGGATCTAAGATAGATAAATACAGTAGATAGATAGATATACAGTGGGTATTCACCCCCCTTGGACTTTTTCACATTTTGTGAAAAGCTGCAATATGTAACTTTTTGGGCTACCCAGACAAATTCACATAGAAATGTGTGTTATAGATATGTCATTCTCATTGAAAGATCTGTTCTATATGCACTATTTCTATGCTTCCCAATCTTAAGTTTTGTTTTTGCGTCTTTTACTTTCAGTTTTGTACACCAGCTTCAAACAGCTGAACATAATATATTTTGGGTTATGGAAAATATATTTCACAGCGGTTTAGATGGTGCAATGATTCTACACACTGTACTTGTCACATAAACTGAAATTAAGCGAACTATTTGAATTTTAGCAACCAGGAAATGGTGGAGCGAATTCTGCATAGTGCATCTTCAATTGTGATTTTTTTTGTCATTGATCTACACAAAATACTACATAATGTCAAGGTGAAAAGAAAATTCTACAATGCTCTCTCTCTCTACCGCACCTGTTATTTCAACCTCTAAATGCCCGACTATGAAAAGCCAAGTGACATTTACTCCTGATGTACTGACCTGTTGCAACCTCTACAACCACTGTGATTATTATTTGACCCAGCTGGCCATCTATGAACGTTTGAACATCTTGGAGAAAGATCTGGCCTTAATGGCCATGTACTGTTATAATCTCCACCCGGCACAGCCAGAAGGGGCTGGCCACCCCTCAGAGCCTGGTTCCTCTCTAGGTTTCTTCCTATGTTTCTACGTTTCTAGCACTGTGCTTCTACATCTGCGTTGCTTGCTGTTTGGGGTTTTAGGCTGGGTTTCTGTATAGCTGTCACGCCCTGGCTCTGGGGACTCTTGTATGTTGAGCCAGGGTGTTAGTTTCTTTGTGTAGTGTCTATGTTTCGTTTCCTATGTTCTGTTCTAGGTTATGTGTTTCTATGTTGGCCGGGGTGGTTCTCAATCAGAGGCAACGAGAATCAGCTGTTGCTTGTTGTCTCTGATTGGGAACAATACTTAGGCAGCCTTTTGTGCACTTGTGATTCGTGGGATCTTGTTCCGTAAGGTTTGTTTTGTATTAACCTAGGACTTCACGTATCGTTTGGTTTATTGTTTTGTTCGTGTGTGTACTAAATAAAAGATGTACGCATATCACGCTGCGCCTTGGTCCGCTGTGTATAACGATCGTGACAGAAGATCCCACCAAAACAGGACCAAGCAGCGTGTCCAGGAGCAGACAGCCTGGATTTGGGAGGAGATCTTGGATGGGCAGGGGTCCTGGACTTGGGAGGAAATCCAGGCTGGAATGGATCGCCGTCCGTGGGAGGAGACGGTGGAGGCGCGCCATAGAGAGGAGCAGCGGCGCCAACCGGGCCGACGTCGGACACGCAAGAGGCAACCCCAATAATTTTTTTGGGGGGGGGGCACACGGCATGGACGACAGGGCTGCTGGAGGCAGCTACGGGGCGAGTTTGGGGATTAGGAGAGGAGGCCACCGGGTTTGAGGGGCTTGAAGGGAGGTTGGTGGAGCCTAGAGGTAGATCAGAGCCAACTCCCCGTACTCAGGCTAGGCAGCGTGAGACTGGGCATGTTCCGAGGTATGCGGAGCTGCGTACTGTGCCGCGAGTGGTCCGGCACAGTCCGGTACGTCCTGTGCGAGCACCACGCACGTGTCGTGCTAAGGTGGGCATGCAGCCAGGACGGAGTGTGCCGGCTTAACGCTCGTGGCCTCCAGTACCCCTCCTCGGTCCCGGATATCCTGCGCCAGTGTCACGTGCTGTAGTGCCAGTACGAGTACACAGCCCTGTACGTCCTGTGCTGATGCCTCACACAGAGTGTGTAAAAATAGGCATTCAGCCAGGACGGGTTGTGTCAGCTCTTCGCTCCAGACCTCCAGTCCGTCTCCACAGCCCGGTCCGGCCTGTTCCTGCTCCCCGCACCAAGCCTGTGGTGCGCGTCGCCAGCCCGGTCCGGCCTGTTCCTGCCCCTCGCACCAAGCCTGTGGTGCGCGTCGCCAGCCCGGCCCGGCCTGTTCCTGCTCCCCGCACCAAGCCTGTGGTGCGCGTCGCCAGCCCGGTCCGGCCTGTTCCTGCCCCTCGCACCAAGCCTGTGGTGCGCGTCGCCAGCCCGGCCCGGCCCGGCCTGTTCCTGCCCCTCGCACCAAGCCTGTGGTGCGCGTCGCCAGCCCGGCCCGGCCTGTTCCTGCCCCTCGCACTAAGCCTGTGGTGCGCGTAGCCAGCCCGGTATGGCCTGTTCCTGCTCCCCGCACCAACCCTGTGGTGCGCGTTGCCAGCCCGGCCCGGCCTGTTCCTGCTCCCCGCACCAAGCCAGTGGTGCGCATCGTCAGCCCGGTCCGGCCCGTTCCTGCTCCCCGCACCAAGTCAGTGGTGCGCGTCGTCAGCCCGGTCCGGCCCATTCCTGCTCCCCGCACCAAGCCTGTAGTGCGCGTCGTCAGTCCGGCACAGCCCGTGCCTGTTGCACCGGTGCCTGGTCTGGTACCGGTCAGCTGCTCCACACCGGAGCCTAAGCAATCCGCTCCACCGATGTCCAGTCCAGCTCCAGCTAGCGGGGCCAGACCAGACCAGGGGCGCTACGGGGGGGTTGTTAGAGGGTGGTGGTCACGCCCGGAGCCGGATCCGCCTCCGAGGTGGAATGCCCACCCGGCCCCTCCCCTGTTGGGTTTATGTTGGCGCGGTCGCAGTCCGCGCCTTTGGGGGGGGGTACTGTCACGCCCTGGCTCTGGGGACTCTTGTATGTTGAGCCAGGGTGTTAGTTTCTTTGTGTAGTGTCTATGTTTCGTTTCCTATGTTCTGTTCTAGGTTATGTGTTTCTATGTTGTCCGGGGTGGTTCTCAATCAGAGGCAACGAGAATCAGCTGTTGCTTGTTGTCTCTGATTGGGAACAATACTTAGGCAGCCTTTTGTGCACTTGTGATTCGTGGGATCTTGTTCCGTAAGGTTTGTTTTGTATTAACCTAGGACTTCACGTATCGTTTGGTTTATTGTTTTGTTCATGTGTGTACTAAATAAAAGATGTACGCATATCACGCTGCGCCTTGGTCCACTCATTATGACGATCGTGACAATAGCACTTTGTGACATCTGCAGATGTAAAAGGGCTTTATAAATACATTTGATTGATTACGTATTGTTTAAGTATTGTTACGGCGGAGCCCGGCGAAGCACAAGGCTAGCTAGCTAGCGGGTAGCTACTGGTAACGTTTATTGGTAATTATCTGTTTAGTGCAATGGTGGAGAGTGGTTTCCAATGTTAATGTGCTAGCTAATGTGCTAGCTAGCCAACGTTTAATTTTTCTGCTGCGTTATGAAAGGAACTAGACACGGACATGAATTATCTGTTTAGTGTGTTAACACACTCTTGGTATGCTAGCTAGCTAGCGGGTAGCTACTGGTAACGTTTATTGGTAATTATCTGTTTAGTGCAACGGTGGAGAGTTGTTTCCAATGTTAATGTGCTAGCTAGACAACGTTTAATTTTTGCTGCGTTACGAAAGGAACTAGACACGGACATGAATTATCTGTTTAGTGTGTTAACACACTCTTGGTAGTTTGCTGTAACCAAGTATTGGTGCTAAACTGTGTGTTATTGGATGCTAGCATGCTAGTTAGCTATGGCGTCATAGCTAGGCATCGTGGGCTGTTGTGGGTAGTTACTGTGGGTTGGCATTGTTTTTCGGCGGTGCCGGGGGTAGCACGAAGCTAGCTAGCTAGCCGTTCTTCAAACAAGGTCAACACAGTGGCCATTGCTAGCTAGCCAACAGACACGGACACGAATTATCTGCTTAGTGTGTTAACACACTATTAGTGGTTTGTTGTGACCAAGTGTTGGTGCTAAACTGTGTGTTTTTGGATGCTAGCATGCTAGTTAGCTATGGTGTCATAGTTAGCTAGCTGAATAAAGTGGGTTGAGTCTATTCCTTTAAACATTGAACCGCTGTGGTTCACAACAATTCTGATTTCTAGAGGTGGAAGTTGGTAGAGTTTTTGTTCGGGTGGTTCAGTGAAACAATTATAGTTTCTGAGGTAGAAGTTTTTGGTGAGGGAGGCCCTGCTCTCTACTCTCCCAGATGTTTAGTTCATTTCATTCCGATCTCCTCTGCATTATTGTAGCCATTTGCTACAGCCTGTCAACTATGCCTCTGCCTATCCCTGTTCTCTCCTCTCTGCACAGGCTACACAAACGCCCCACACCGCGTGGCTGCTGCCTCTCTAACCTGGTGGTCCCTGCACGCACCCCACACCTGGAGTTCCAGGTCTCAGGCAGCCTCTGGAACTGCCGTTCTGCTGCCAACAAAGCTGACTTCATCCCAGCCTATGCTAATCTCCAGTCCCTCGACTTCCTGGCGCTGACGGAAACATGGATTACCACTGAAAACACTGCTACTCCTACTGCTCTCTCCTCGTCTGACCATGTGTTCTCGCATACCCCGAGAGCATCTGGTCAGAGGGGTGGTGGCACAGGAATCCTCATCTCTCCCAAGTGGACATTCTCAATTTTTCCCCTAACCCATCTGTCTATCTCCTCATTTGAATTCCATGCTGTCACAGTCACTAGCCCATTTAAGCTTAATATCCTTGTCATCTATCGCCCTCCAGGTTCCCTTGGAGAGTTCATCAATGAGCTTGACGCCTTGATAAGTTCCTTTCCTGAGGATGGCTCACCCCTCACAGTTTTGGCGGATTTCAACCTCCCTACGTCCACATTTGACTCATTTCTCTCTGCCTCCTTCTTTCCACTCCTCTCCTCTTTTGACCTCACCCTCTCACTGTCCCCCCCTACTCACAAGGCAGGCAATACGCTTGACCTCATCTTACTAGATGCTGCTCTTCTACTAATCTCACTGCAACTCCCCTCCATGTCTCTGACCACTACTTTGTTTCCTTTTCTCTCTCGCTCTCCTCCCACACTACTCACTCTGCCCCTACACAGATGGTAATGCGAGGCCGCAACCTTCGCTCTCTCTCTCCCACTACTCTCTCCTCTTCCATCCTATCATCTCTTCCCTCTGCTCAATCCTTCTCCCTCCAATCTCCTGATTCTGCCTCCTCAACCCTCCTCTCCTCCCTTTCTGCATCCTTTGACTCTCTGTGTCCCCTATCCTCCCGGCCGGCTCGGTCCTCCCCTCCAGCTCCGTGGCTTGATGACTCATTGCGAGCTCACAGAACAGAGCTCCGGGCAGCGGAGCGGAAATGGAAGAAAAACTAAACTCCCTGCCGACCTGGCATCTTTTCACTCCCTCCTCTCTACATTTTCTTCATCTGTTTCTGCTGCTAAGGCCACTTTCTACCACTCTAAATTCCAAGCATCTGCCTCTAACCCTAGGAAGCTCTTTGCCACATTTTCCTCCCTGCTGAATCCCCCCCCCCCCCCTCCTCTCTCTCTGTGGATGACTTCGTCAAATTTGAAAGAAGGTTGAGAAAATTGGGGCTGGGGGGTGGGTTTTGGGGAATGCGGTTTATAAAGCCCCCCCCCTTTTTTTTCCCCCCCCCAGAAAAAGGGGGGGGCGAGGGGAAAAAAAATGTGACCCCTTTTTTAGAAGGGGGGGGTTTTAAGGGGGGCAAAAAGGGGGGGGGGGGGGGTTTAAAGGGAGAGGGGGAAAAAAAAAAAAGGGAATGGGGGGGGGCCCCCCAAAAAAAAAAGAAAGGGGGATTTTGACCCCCGAAAGCCCGGGAAACCGTCAGGGGGAGGAAAAAGGGGGGGTTTTTTGGTACCCCCCTCCCATGCAAAGCTTTCTCTCTTCCCCTTTCCTTTTTCCCCTAATTTGCTCCCCATCCGGGAAACCTTCTTCTCCCCCTCTCCCCCCTCTCCCCGCCTCCCCGGATGGGGTCCACCTGCCTCCTCCCCCTTTTTGGGAAACTTTTTCCCGCACCACCCTTCCCATTTTTCCCCCCGGGCATTTCTAGGCCCTCTCCTTTTCTCCCTATACACCAAGTCACTTGGCTCTGTCATATCCTCACATGGCCTCTCCTATCATTGCTACGCTGACGATACACAACTAATCTTCTCCTTTCCCCCCTTCTGATAACCAGGTGGCGAATCGCATCTCTGCATGTCTGGCAGACATATCAGTATGGATGACGGATCACCACCTCAAGCTGAACCCTGGCAAGACGGAGCTGCTCTCCTCCCGGGGAAGGACTGCCCGTTCCATGATCTCGCCATCACGGTTGACAACTCCGCTGTGTCCTCCTCCCAGAGTGCGAAGAGCCTAGGCGTGACCCTGGACAACACCCCTGTCGTTCTCCGCCAACATCAAGGCGGTGACCCGCTCCTGCAGGTTCATGCTCTACAACATTCGGAGAGTACGACCCTGCCTTACACAGGAAGCGGCACAGGTCCTAATCCAGGCACTTGTCATCTCCCGTCTGGACTACTGCAACTCGCTGTTGGCTGGCCTCCCTGCCTGTGCCATTAAACCCCTACAACTCATCCAGAATGCCGCAGCCCGTCTGGTGTTCAACCTTCCCAAGTTCTCTCACGTCACCCCCCTCCTCCGCACACTCCACTGGCTTCCAGTTGAAGCTCGCATCCGCCAAGACCATGGTGCTTGCCTATGGAGCAGTGAGGGGAACGGCACCTCTGTACCTTCGGGCTCTGATCAGTCCCTACACCCAAACGAGGGCATTGCGTTCATCCACCTCTGGCCTGCTGGCTCCCCTTCCTCTGCGGAAGCATAGTTCCCGCTCAGCCCAGTCAAAACTGTTCGCTGCTCTGGCACCCCAATGGTGGAACAAGCTCCCTCACGACGCCAGGACAGCGGAGTCACTCACCACCTTCCGGAGACATTTGAAACCCCACCTCTTTAAGGAATACCTGGGATAGGATAAAGTAATCCTTCTACCCCCCCCCCCCCACTGGTTATCCCACTGGCTATAGGGTGAACGCACCAATTGGTGAGTCGCTCTGGATAAGAGCGTCTGCTAAATGACGTAAATGTGCCCTTGAGCAAGGCACTTAACCCTAATTGCTCCTGTAAGTCGCTCTGGATAAGAGCGTCTGCTAAATGACTAAAATGTAAAAATGTAAATGATTGATTGATCCCCAACACCTTGAAGAATAATGGGCAAATATTGCACAATTCAGGTGTGCAAAGCTCTTAGAGACTTACCCAAGAAGAATCACAGCTGTAATCGCTGCCAAATGTGTTTCTAACATGTATTGACCTAGGGGGTTAATACTTATCTAATCAAGGTATATTAGTGTTTTATTTTTCATTCATCTTTAAAAAATAATATATTTTGAATAGATAATTGATTAGAAATGACAATTAAATCCATTTTAATCCCACTTTGTAACACAATAAAATGTGAAGAAATCCAAGGGGGGTGAATACGTATGATACCCAGTGTAGATATACAGCAGCAGACAAAAACACACACTCTGTACAAGACAAAAAGTCAGGAGCCATAGAAAGTGATCAAATGGTCAAAAGTAATGCACTACATAGAGAATAATGTGCAATTTCAGATGCAGCCCATAACTGTCTACCTTCTCCATGACAGTGGTCTCTGGAACACTGGTGGTGACCCCCAGATCTGTGGTGGTGGTACCCAGGACCACACTCTGGTTCTCCCTCAGTCTCTTCAGACAGCCCCCCCTGGCATGGATGTCCTTCAGGCCGGAGTAGACAGCCTCCCGCAGAGGCTTCAGCACAGCCTTGCACAGAGCAGCTTCCATAATCACCTCTGGAGAGGAAAAATACAGAAATCCCTGGTTAGAAATCAATGGGCTCCATTTCTAGTTGAGGAGAGAGCACATTGCGGCTACACTTAGTCTTCTGTGCAGTGCAAAGAGTAAAGGAGGAAACTGGAAGGTGGCAACTCAATGCTGCTGGTTATTATACTCTTTGTGCAAATATGGAAGCTGATTAATTAAAGTGTTTTTGCTAACTATTGTATTTTTGCCTGCAGTTATACTGTAGTTCTTTATGGAGGAAAAAATCTATCCGGTTAAAAGTTTTAGAACACCTACTCATTCAACGGTTTTTCTTCATTTGTACTATTTTCTACATTGTAGAATAATAGTGAAGTCATCAAAACTATGAAATAACACATATGGAATCATGTAGTAAGCAAAAAGGTGTTAAACAAATCAAAATATATTTTATATTTGAGATTCTTCAAATAGCCACCCTTTGCCTTGATGACAGCTTTGCACACTCTTGGCATTCTCTCAACCAGCTTCATGAGGTAGTCACCTGGAATGCATTTCAATTAACAGGTGTGCCTTCATAAAAGTTAATTGAAGGTCAGTCAATAAGGAACACTTCAAGAACATTTAACGTTTCTTCAAGTGCAGTAGCAAAAACCATCAAGCGCTATGATAAAACTGGCTCTCATGAGGACCGCCACAGGAATGGAAGACCAAGAGTTACCTCTGCTGCAGAGGATAAGTTCATTAGAGTTACCAGCCTCAGAAATTGCAGCCCAAATAAAAGCTTCACAGAGTTCAAGTAACAGACACATCTCAACATCAACTGTTCAGAGGAGACTGTGTGAATCAGGCCTTCATGGTCGAATTGCTGCAAAGAAACAACTACTAAAGGACACCAATAAGAAGAAGAGACTTGCTTGGGCAAAGAAACACGAGCAATGGACAATGTCCTTTGGTCTGGAGTCCAAATTGGAGATTTTTGGTTCCAACTGCCGTGTCTTTGTGAAACGCGGTGTGGGTGAAAGGATGATCTCCACATGTGTATTTGCCACCGTAAAGCATGGAGGAGGGGGTGTTATGGTGTGGGGGTGCTTTGCTAGTGACACTGTCTGTGATTGATTTAGAATTCAAGGCACACTTAACCATCATGGCTACCACAGCATTCTGCAGTGATTTGCCATCCCATCTGGTTTGGGCTTAGCGGCACTATTATTTGATTTTCAACAGGACAATGACCCAACACACCTCCAGGCTGTGTAAGGGCTATTTTACCAAGAAGGAGAGTGATGGACTGCTGCAGATGACCTGGCCTCCACAATCCCCCGACCTCAACCAAATTGAGATGGTTTGGGATGAGTCGGACCGCAGAGTGAAGGAAAAGCAGCCAACAAGTGCTCAGCATATGTGGGAACTCCTTCAAGACTGTTGGAAAAGCATTCCAGGTGAAGCTGGTTGAGAGAATGCCAAGAGTGTGAAAAGCTGTCATCAAGGGAAAGGGTGGCTATTTGAAGAATCTCAAATATAAATTATATTTTGATCTGTTTAACACTTTTTTGCTTACTACATGATTCCATATGTGTTATTTCATAGTTTTGATGTCTTCACTACTATTCTACAAAGTTGAATGAGTAGGTGTGTCCAACATTTTGACCGGTAGTGTATATTGTACACTGTGCCTTGCAAAAGTATTCATCCCCCTTGGCATTTTTCCTATTTTGTTGCATTACAACCTTTAATTTCAATGGATTTTTACTTGGATTTCATGTAATGGACATACACAAAATAGTCCACATTGGTGAAGTGAAATGAAAAAAATAACTTGTTTCAAAAAAGTATACAAAATAAATAATGGAAAAGTGGTGCGTGCATATGTGTTCACCCCCTTTGCTATGAAGCCCCTAAATAAGATCTGGTGCAACCAATTACCTTCAGATCTGTCAAAAGATCTCAGTATATATACACCTGTTCTGAAACTTTGAACATCCCACGTAGCACCATTAATTCCATTATTAAAGAATATGGCACCACAACAAACCTCCCAAGAGAGGGCCGCCCACCAAAACTCACGGACCAGGCAAGGAGGGCATTAATCAGAGGGGCAACAAAGAGACCAAAGATAACCCTGAAGGAGCTGCAAAGCTCCACAGCAGAGATTGGAGTATCTGTCCATAGGACCACTTTAAGCCGTACACTCCACAGAGCTGGGCTTTACGGAAGAGTGGCCAGAAAAAAGCCATTGCTTAAAGAAAATAATAAGCAAACACGTTTGGTGTTCGCCAAAAGCCATGTGGGAGACTCCCCAAACATATGGAAGAAGGTACTCTGGTCAGATGAGACTAAAATTGTTATTTTTGGCCATCAAGGAAAACACTATGTCTGGCGCAAACCCAACACCTCTCATCACCCCGAAAACACCATCCCCACAGTGAACCTGTTTCAGTCATCCAGAGATTTGTGTCTGGGACAGAGGTTCACCTTCCAGCAGGACAATGACCCTAAGCATACTGCTAAAGCAACACTCAAGTGGTTTAAGGGGAAACGTTTAACTGTCTTGGAATGGCCTAGTCAAAGCCCAGACCTCAATCCAAATGAGAATCTGTGGTATGACTTAAAGACTGCTGTACACCAACTTGAAGGAGCTGGAGCAGTTTTGCCTTGAAGAATGGGCAAAAATCCCAGTGGCTAGATGGGCCAAGCTTATAGAGACATACCCCCAAGAGACTTGCAGCTGTAATTGCTGCAAAAGGTGGCTCTACAAAGTATTGACTTTGGGGGGGTGAATAGTTATGCACACTCAAGTTTTCTGTTTTTTTTGTCTTATTTCTTGTTTGTTTCACAATCAAAAATATTTTGCATCTTCAAAGTGGTAGGCATGTTGTGTAAATCAAATGATTCAAACCCAAAAAAAATCCAACAAAATAGGAAAAATGCCAAGGGGGGTGAATACTTTCGCAAGGAAAACCTGACATTCAGCATTTCACGCTGGAGGCAAAATAAGTTGTATATCAAAGGGGACTTCTTGTATACTAGCAACCCAATTAAGCCATCAAATGTCAACGGAGACAACCCTCACTAACAACCATGTCTTCTGTCCATGTTGTAATTTTATAGGTGTCACTACAAAGACTAATTTACCACGCACAAAGAGAAGACTGTGATAAACAACTTCCTCCTGTTTGACAGAGAATAAGGGGAACATCCATCATGTTTGCCAAAAATGTTATGAACGCTTCAGTTCTCACTAATCTTCAAATGAATCTTCAAATTAACCTACCCGCCATATTCAGTGTCAAACAGGATATTTAAAGTAAGGAGCAAGTGGAACTTTGAGCATGTAAAGAGTCTACAGAATGGAGTTTTTAACGCTGGGTTTTGACAGATGAATGTTGAGTATATCGAGGAGAATTAAGTAAATAAGCAGTTGCCTAGTTTTTCCTCTGTGTAGACGTTGGGCTCCAGTAGGTTCTGCAGCTCAGTGCTCTGGATGAGGTAACTCTTCAGCTGGGTCATCATCTGCCTGATCTCCTGCAGCAGCTCAGTGCTGGAGCTGTGCTTCACCATGGTCTCCAGAATATACACCCTGGGATAGATTAATTAATTAGTCGATTGAGGGTTTCTGAAGGGATCTTTTTTGGGGGGGAAATGTAACAAATTTAAGAGACATTTTCCATGGCTGGACAGAGATATGAGTTGAAATTAACAAGATTCTGCTTTGAATTAAAATATGTGTGGCCCTAATCAGCCCATCAACTAAGCGATTCTGAAAAACTTGTGATGAACTGATCCCTACCTGTAATCCTTCACCAGGTTCCCGAAGTAGGAGCTACCGTCCCGGGACAGCTCCACGATCCTCTTCTGCAACTTATGGTCAGCGCTCATGAAGTTGGTGAACACACTGGAGAAGTTGACCATGGAGAGGCGTTGCTTGGCCCGGTCCAGCATGATGGTAGGGGTCCTCTTCATTGACACCTGGTTTTTAATGATAAGTATTTTATTTGGATTATTTTACAGGAAAATGTAATACAAATTCTCATACAGTAACTAAGGCACAGCAGCAAATTAAGCTTGTAGTTAGGATGATGTTAGTTACACAGCTAAGCTGCATAATAATGTTAAATGGGACTTCCATGGGAAATAAAGGTTGAATAAATAAATATAATTAATATATATACTTTGGTATTGTTGGTCCCAACGGCCCCTCCAGCCCGACTGGCCACAGTGTCAGCCTCCTCCTCTGTGCTGCTGGTAGAGTAAGAGTCATGGTCCAGTGCAGGGAGGGCCGCACCACCATCAGGAGCATACAGGGACACATCTGCCCCTCTGGCCTCCCTCACCTCCCCCTCGGGGATGGAAATGGCCATCCGGGCTGGCAAGGGGGTGCTGGAGGTCTGGGGGATGTCCAATGATGCATTGATTGAAAGAAGTCCTCCACCTATCATGTCTGGGGCGAGAGGTGTAGTGAGCGTGGCCTGGGAGGGCTTATTCTTTCTGGGAGGTGGGACTGGCGGTGCGGCCCTCTTCGTCAGAGGGGCTGGTATAGCCACGGTAACAGCCTCACTGCTGTTTGAAGTCTCTGATGTCCCTTGCCTCTGCAGTGTCTCTATCTCACCAGCATAGGGCTCCACTCTTAACTCCTTCTCCTCGTCTGCCATGTTGGTGGTGACGTCGATGCACACCAGTGAAGCAACAGGCACTATGCCAACACTGCCCTCATCCTTCTTCTTTGAGGGTGTGGTGAGGGTCAGGGTGCCCCCATCCGGCTGGGGCGGCTCCTGTCCTGGGGGTGGGGGACGCTTCTCTGAGGGCATCCGCCGTAGGGGCACAAGTGGGATCCTGTGTGGAGGTGGCCGGGGTGCTGGGTGCCGATGTCCTGCTGTTGCTCCATGCGGTGACAGATGCTGTAGAGGCTGAGTAGCTGCTACTGGGTCAGTAGCTGTAACTGACACCTCTCTCTCTGAGACAAGTTGAGAAGCAGCTTTCTCTCCCTCCCCACTGCCTTTGCTGCTGTTTCCTTCTCCTTTCTGCCCTGGCTTGGCTGTGACTCTAATAGGTGGGGGTGGTGAGCGGGGGGAGGGGGAATCAGACGTCCCTCTGTTCCCCTGCTTGGCCCCCTGTGACAGTAACAATCCCTCAGGGACATTAGGGGGTCGGGGTGGGGGGCGTTTGAACTTGGGGGGTACCTGCCCCTGCCCTGAGCCTGGGGTGTTCAGGCTCTGGCTCCTGAGGATGGGAGCAGCGACGGGGGTGGAGGCCTCCAGGCTGCTGCAGTACTCCTCTATGAATATGGGGTTAACGTACCACAGCCGGTCGTTACCGGTCCCAGTGGACAGCTGGATCTCACAGGACGAGCTGTGACCCTGGCCCTGGCCGTGCCCTACTGGTCTGCTCCCTTGTCCTGGCTCCTCAGAGGAACTGTTCATCTGAGAGACCCAGAAATCTGACAGGAGAAACTGAGAGTTACCATCACGCTATCACTAGAGAGCTGAACCCCAAACTGACACTACCATCATTAGACTTTCATGTTACTCTTATGTTCAAATTATACTCCTTGTTGATGAAGAATCAGTCATTACAATTAACAAAAAGCATCAGAGAGAATATAAATGGGGTTTTGTTTTTATCTGGAGGGTTGTGTTTTGTGGCTATTAAAGGAGGAAGCTTGCCATAATATATTTAGTACAGGACACCTCACTGTCTGAATATCCGCTCACTCACACAGCAACACGGTTGTAACACTTCCCCTCTATTTCACCAAAATGCTCTTACACTTTTTTGCCTTACTGTGAGATAATGTGATGCTACCCCATAGACACACCTATATAAAAGTGAATACAGCATTTATTTCAAATTCAAAGTACCTGAACCTAATGTTGATATCATCTCTATATCTTCATACTTGGTTGCCTGGACGATGACCTCAGGCAACCTCAGAGTGAAGGGGAGAATATCCCTGGAAGATAATGAATCATTATTAATTTATAACAAGTGAATATTTTGAGTGCCAGGCAGTAGGGTATGAAGGATAGTCTTGTCTTACCGGCTGACACAGTAGAAGGAGATGAGTTTGAAGATGTTGTCAAAGACCAGGACAGACCCTTCCAGGTAGATCACTGTTAGGGGAGGGAAAGGATGTTATAACACAATACTGTATCAATATTGACACTGTATCAATACTGATATTAGATACTGATACTGTATCAATTCTGAAGCGACTTACGACAATTCTGCGTGTATACATTTTATATTTATGGGTTGTCCCAGGGATCGGACGACACACCCTATCCTGGCGTTGCAAGCGCCATGCTGTACCAACTGAGCTACAGAGGACCATTCTACATCACAATGATCCCTTAGTCATGTAGTAGGGATAGATTGGGGCCGAGAGGTTGCACACATTTTCAACCTCTCTCTCTCTCTCTCTCTCTCTCTCTCTCTCTCTCTCTCTCTCTCTCTCTCTCTCTCTCTCTCTCTCTCTCTCTCTCTCTCTCTCTCTCTCTCTCTCTCTCTCTCTCTCTCTCTCAATTCAATTCAATTTAAGGGCTTTATTGGCATGGGAAACGTGTGTTAACATTGCCAAAGCAAGTGAAGTAGATAGTAAACAAAAGTGAAATAAACAATAAACATTTGGCAGGAGGTTAGGAAGTGCAGCTCAGTTTCCACCTCATTTTGTGGGCAGTGTGCACATAGCCTGTCTTCTCTTGAGAGCCAGGTCTGCCTACGGCGGCCTTTCTCAAAAGCAAGGCTATGCTCACTGAGTCTGTACATAGTCAAAGCTTTCCTTAAGTTTGGGTCAGTCACAGTGGTCAGGTATTCTGCCACTGTGTACTCTCTGTTTAGGGCCAAATAGCATTCTAGTTTGCTCTGTTTATTTGTTTGTTCTTTCCAATGTGTCAAGTAATTCTCTTTTTGTTTTCTCATGATTTGGTTGGGTCTAATTGTGTTGTTGTTGTTGTTGTTGTTGTTGTTGTCCTGGGGCTGTGTGGGGTCTGTTTGTGTTTGTGAACAGAGCCCCAGGACAAGCTTACTTAGGGGACTCTTCTCCAAGTTCATCTCTCTGTAGGTGATGGCTTTGTTATGGAAGGTTTGGGAATCGCTTCCTTTTAAGTGGTTATAGAATTTAACAGCTCTTTTCTGGATTTTGATAATTAGCGGGTATTGGCCTAATTCTGCTCTGCATGCATTATTTGGTGTTTTACGTTGTACACGGAGGATGTTTTTGCAGAATTCTGCATGCAGAGTCTCAATTTGGTGTTTGTCCCATTTTGTGAATTCTTGGTTGGTGAGCGGACCCCAGACCTCAGAACCATAAAGGGCAATGGGTTCAATAACTGATTCAAGTATTTTTAGCCAGATCCTAATTGGTATGTCAAATTTTATGTTCCTTTTGATGGCATAGAAGGCCCTTCTTGCCTTGTCTCTCAGATCGTTCACAGCTTTGTGGAAGTTACCTGTGGCGCTGATGTTTAGGCCGAGGTATGTATAGTTTTTTGTGTGCTCTAGGGCAACGGTGTCTAGATGGAATTTGTATTTGTGGTCCTGGCAACTGGACCTTTTTTGGAACACCATTATTTTTGTCTTACTGAGATTTACTGTCAGGGCCCAGGTCTGACAGTAAAGAAGATCTAGGTGCTGCTGTAGGCCCTCCTTGGTTGGTGACAGAAGCACCAGATCATCAGCAAACAGAAGACATTTGACTTCAGATTCTAGTAGGGTGAGGCCGGGTGCTGCAGACTGTTCTAGTGCCCTCGCCAATTCGTTGATATATATGTTGAAGAGGGTGGGGCTTAAACTGCATCCCTGTCTCACCCCACGGTCCTGTAGAAAGAAATGTGTGTGTTTTTTGCCAATTTTAACCGCACACTTGTTGTTTGTGTACATGGATTTTATAATGTCGTATGTTTTTCCCCCAACCCCACTTTCCATCAATTTGTATAGCAGACCCTCATGCCAAATTGAGTCAAAAGCTTTTTTGAAATCAACAAAGCATGAGAAGACTTTGCCTTTGTTTTGGTTTGCTTGTTTGTCAATTAGGGTGTGCAGGGTGAATACGTGGTCTGTTGTACGGTAATTTGGTAAGCTCTCTCTCTCTCTTATATATATATATAAGGGTCCCCCTTACAAGGACTCTCCTCTCATGGATTACAGCAGTCACTTAGGCTTAATTTACCCATGGTGCACTAGCTCACTATGGTTCAGTCTCTAACCTTTGTATACTATCTGTTTCGCACACTCTTTCCTTCTTTCTCTGTTTGCTATTTGAGTGTGTGTTCCTTTCTCCCCCCCCCCCCCCCCCCCCCTCTCTCCTCTCTCTCTCTCTCTCTCTCTCATATCATGTATTACCATACTGTGGTCACTATCAATGTGCAAAGTGAAACTTAAACTCACCCAAAGATGAGCAAAAGATAACAGCACGTTCCAATTCTAAGCCAACACATTTACTGGACATACAGTAGCTACAAGGCCATGCATACCAAGTGCATTTCATGCACTCCTTCACAAATACAGTGCCTTGCAAAAGTATTCATCCCCCTTGGCGTTTTTCTTATTTTGTTGCATTACAACCTGTAATTTAAATGGATTTGTATTTGGATTTCATGTAATGGACATACCAAATAGTCCAAATTGATGAAGTGAAATGAAAAAAATAACTTATTTCAAAAGATTCTAAAAAATTAATAACGGAAAAGTGGTGCGTGCACATGTACATCCCACGGAGCACCATTAAATCCATTATAAAAAAAATGGAAAGAATATGGCACCACAACAAACCTGCCAAGAGAGGGCCGCCCACCAAAACTCACGGACCAGGCAAGGAGGGCATTAATCAGAGGGGCAACAAAGAGACCAAAGATAACCCTGAAGGAGCTGCAAAGCTCCACAGCGGAGATTGGAGTATCTGTCCATAGGACCACTTTAAGCCGTACAATCCACAGAGCTGGGCTTTACGGAAGAGTGGCCAGAAAAAAGCCATTGCTTAAAGAAAATAATAAGCAAACACGTTTGGTGTTCGCCAAAAGGCATGTGGGAGATTCCATAAACATATGGAAGAAGGTACTCTGGTCAGATGAGACTAAAATTGAGCTGTTTGGCCATCAAGGAAAACGCTATGTCTGGCGCAAACCCAACACCTCTCATCACCCCGAGAACACCATCCCCACAGTGAAGCATGGTGGTGGCAGCATCATGCTGTGGGGATGTTTTTCATTGGCAGGGACTGGGAAACTGGTCAGAATTGAAGGAATGATGGATGGCGCTAAATACAGGGAAATTCTTGATGGAAACCTGTTTCAGTCATCCAGAGATTTGAGACTGGGACGGAGGTTCACCTTCCAGTAGGACAATGACCCTAAGCACACTGCTAAAGCAACACTCAAGTTGTTTAAGAGGAAACATTTAATTGCCTTGGAATGGCCTAGTCAAAGCCCAGACCTCAATCCAAATGAGAATCTGTGTAATGACTTAAAGATTGCTGTACACCAGCGGAACCGATCCAACTTGAAGGAGCTGGAGCAGTTTTGCCTTGAAGAATGGGCAAAAATCCCAGTGGCTAGATGTGCCAAGCTTGTAGAGACATACCCCAAGAGACTTGCAGCTGTAATTGCTGCAAAACGTGGCTCTACAAAGTATTGACTTTGGGGGAGTGAATAGTTATGCACGCTCAAGTTCAGTTTTTTTGTCTTATTTCTAGTTTGTTTCACCCCAAAAAATATTTTGCATCTTCAAAGTGGTAGGCATGTTGTGTAAATCAAATGATACAAACCCCCCAAAAATCAATTTTAATTCCAGGTTGTAAGGCAACAAAATAGGAAAAATGCCAAGGGGGGTGAATACTTTTGCAAGCTACTGTATAGATTCTGAACATGCAGATATTGTTATACTGGATACTTTACATATCTGGACATCTCTCTCTCACACACACACACACTCACACACACACACACACACACACAAACACACACACACCAACCTGGACTCAGGGGTAGACGTAACATAGTAAATGTAAATCCAGGACACTCCAATTAGCCTGATACTGTCTGTTGCGTTTTGTATGGTATGTATTATGAGTTAGGGGTTAGGGGTTAGGGTTAAGGTTAGGTTAGGGTTAGGGTTAGGAGTTAGGTTAAAAGGTTAAGATTAGGGTTAGGAGAAGGGTTAGCTAACATGCTAAGTAGTTAAAATGTGTAAGTATTTGCATAGTTGCTAATTAGCTTAAATTGTCCATGATGAGATTCGAACACACAACCTTTTGAATTGCTAGACGTTCACGTTATATGTCTACCCATCCATCCCCGACCAACCACCCTACTTTTGTTTTTTTGCACTACGTAACCTTCTGTCTTATGTAACTATACCAAACATAACATAGTATGTATGATAAGTTATGTTTGGTATGGTTACATAAGACAGAAGGTTACGTAGGGCAAAAACTAAAGTAGGGTGGCTTGGATTTATATTTATTTTGTTGTCTAGTCTATGAGACCAGGCTGCACACACACACAAACACACACACACACACACAAACACAAACACACACACACACAAACACACACACACACACATACAAACACACACATACCTCCCTACATGCGGCCAGGATCTGGTAAGCTCAGAATAGCAGGAAGTCCTGTATGGTCGACATACAGCCCAGAAGAGCAGAGGACAGGAAGTCTGCTGTGTGTGACACAGTGAATACCCTCACCTTCCGATCTCCACCACAGGAGTCACACATGTCACAAATAGCAGCTGTAAAAATGTGTTCTGTGAGTGTGGATGGATGGGCTAGCATCATGTGTTCTGTGTGTGTAGATGGATGTGGATGGATGGGCTAGCATCATGTGTTCTGTGTGTGTGGATGGATGTGTGGATGGATGGATGGGCTAGCATCATGTGTTCTGTGTGTGTAGATGGATGTGTGGATGGATGGATGGGCTAGCATCATGTGTTCTGTGTGTGTAGATGGATGTGTGGATGGGTGGGCTAGCATCATGTGTTCTGTGTGTGTAGATGGATGTGTGGATGGGTGGGCTAGCATCATGTGTTCTGTGTGTGTGGATAGATGTGTGGAAGGATGGGCTTGCATCATGTGTTCTGTGTGTGTGGATGGATGGGCTAGCATCATGTGTTCTGTGTGTGTGGATGGATAGGCTAGCATCATGTGTTCTGTGTGTGTGGATGGATAGGCTAGCATCATGTGTTCTGTGTGTGTGGATGGATAGGCTAGCATCATGTGTTCTGTGTGGATGGATGGGGTAGCAGGACCAAGGGCTTTAACACTGATAGTCCCCATATCTATTTACCACTGACTGTTCACTAGGGTTTGAGGACAGAACACAAACAGACATCCCCTTTCAGTGGGAAACTGTGAAAGGTTACGACAAAGTTGATACAAGGGGCATTACAACATTATAGATCATCTCTTGTTAGGATACTCACATGACTTCTCTTCTTTAACCAGAACGTCCTGGACCTGAGGCTCCCCCTGCTGGTTAGAAATACGTACTGACAGAACCATGGCCTTCTGGTCTGGGCTTTTACGCACTAAAAAGATCTGGGTGCACAAAGTCACGCTATCAATATCATAACAAACATCACTGTAGAGATATTCCCTTATGTCAGATAAAGATGTCTGGCCCTTCATGTGTTTGTGTGTGTATGTATTTGACGTCTATGTTTGCGAGTCTATGAGAAGGTGTTTGAGTAATAGATTAATAAAAGTGTGAGGCTAGTTATGCTCAGACAGTTACAACATGTGCCTGTGTGTTTGCGTAAAGATAATTTGTCTGTCACTCACTCCAGGAGTTTCTTTCTTCAGTATAAGTGAGGATTTCTCCTGGGCCATGGCTAACTGCAACCAGACAGGGCACGTTTTGATCAGCTTCTCCAGGATACTGATGCTAGGTGGTGGAGCTGTGGCTGGGGTTGGGGCTGGGGCTGGGGCTGGTGAGGAGGCTGGGGCTGGGGAGGGCTTGGGTGCAAGAGGGACTAGTGGGGTGGGGAGAGGGGGAGACGAGGGCTTGGTAGATGGAAGAGGGGGTCTGGGGAGAGCAGGGGAGGAGGGCTTGGCTATCGAGTGAGGGTGAGGAACAGGGGGTCTCGGCTGGGACGGACCGGAGAGTTTTCGAGGTGCTGAGGGTCTAGAAAGAGGGGGTGAGGAGAGCTTTGAGACAGGAGGAACAGGGGGAGAGGAGAATGGAGATAAGGAGGGTTTTGAGAGAGGATGAATGGGGGGAGTGGAGGTAGGGGGTTTTGCTATAGGAGGTACATGGGGAGAGGAGAGAGGAAGTGAGGAGGGATTTGAGATGGGAGCAGAGAGGGGCATAGATGAGGGCTTTGGGACTGGGTGAGAGGAAAGTGCTGGTACGGTTGGCTCTGAAGAGGAGAGCTCTGGGACTGAAGAGGCATCCAAGATATCAGGAAAGGGGAGTGTAGAGGGCACTGAGACTTGAGGTGGTACAGGTGTGGGGAGGGGGGAAGTGGATGCCTTTGGGACATCAGGTGCTAGGGGTTTGGGGAGTGGGGGAGTACAGTCCTCTGGGACAGTGGCATGAGGGACATCAGTGGTGTCAGTGACGTCAATGGCCAAGTCAATTTGAGGAGGGAGCGGTTCAGATGCTGAAAGAAGGGGTGTTGTGGATGAGGAGGGTGAGGGAGTGGGGTCAGCGGGTGAGACAGGGGGTGGGGGTGAGACAGGGGGAGAGGAGGGTTTAGAGGGGAGAGTCGGGGGAGTCATCAGGGGTGGTCCTGAGGAGAGGGGGGTCTAGGTGGAGGGAACGGTGCTGTTGATCCTGAGGATAAGTTAGGGGTGAGGAGGGGTCTAGGTGGAGGGAATGGTGCTGTTGACCCTGAGGATAAGTTAGGGGTGGGGGGGGGATCTAGGTGGAGGGAACGGTGCTGTTGACCCTGAGGATAAGTTAGGGGTGAGGGGGGGTCTAGGTGGAGGGAACGGTGCTGTTGACCCTGAGGATAAGTTAGGGGTGAGGGGGGGTCTAGGTGGAGGGAACGGTGCTGTTGACCCTGAGGATAAGTTAGGGGTGAGGGGGGGTCTAGGTGGGGAGCGAGGCTCAGCATTCACCCTATGGAGAGAAGTGAGGGAGAGATTAGATTTCCTCACTAATGTCCCTTAGCCATGAGTAACGTATGGTTATATTACCAATGGCTGTGTATATCATGTACTCAGTGGTGGAAAAAGTACCTAATTGTCATACTTGAGTAAAAGTAAAAATACCCAGTAAAATTCTACTTGAGTAAATGTCAAAAAGTATTCAAGTTCCTTATATTAAGCAAACCAGACGGCACCAATTTTATTTTTTATTTTTTACGGATAGCCAGGGGCACACTCAGACATAATTTACAAATGAAGCATGTGTGTTTAGTGAGTCCACCAGATCAGAGGCAGTATTGATGACCAGGGATGTTCTCTTGATAAGTGTGTGAAATTGACAATTTTCCTGTCCTGATAAGCATTCAAAATGTACTTTTGGGTGTCAGGGAAAATGCATGGAGTAAAAAGTACATTCATTTCTATAGGAATGCAGTGAAGTACAAGTAAAAGTTATCAAAAATATAAATAGTAAGGTAAAGTACAGATACCTCTGTAGCTCAATTGGTAGAGCATAACGCTTGTATCGCCAGGGTAGTGGGTTTGATCCCCGGGACCACCCATACATAAAAATGTATGCACACATGACTGTAAGTTGCTTTGGATAAAAGCGTCTGCAAAATGGCTTATTATTATACCCCAAAAAAACTACTTAAGTAGTACTTTAAAGTATTTTTACTTAAGTACTTTATACCACTGCATGTATTGTATATTAGTCACATGTGCAGTACATAATGCACCTATGCCTGAAATACTTGGGAAATATCTCTGGCTAGCAGTTAAAATACAAAGAGATCCAAGATCAGTATTCTCATAGGTAGTAGAGAGATCATGAAAAAACATGTAAACCATGACTCATGCATGCCAGTCTGCAATCCTCCTCTCCAGTTAGGAACATTTTCCCCCATTCTCAGTAGATTCAGTTCATCTAAAAACCAATTTTCCCCTGAAGCTGCTCTCTTCTCGTTTTCATCTAGACCACCCACCCCAACCTCTTGGCAGGCAGTCCTTACTTAATTATATCCTATAAAGCTTTGTGTATGTATCAAATACTATTTATACGTGATATGTTTGCTTTGAAGCTATCATGTGGCTAAGGGCGGGCTATCTTTGACACAAGCTTTTCAAAAACTTTGGCAAAGTTAGGATTGTTCAAATAGAAGTACACAACCAAAACGGTTGTTGAAGTAGTGTCTTCTCCTCTTAGGTTTAGAAAATAAATGTCTTCTCGTCTTAGGTTTAGAAAATAAATGTCTTCTCCTCTTAGGTTTAGAAAATAAATGTATTCTCCTCTTAGGTTTAGAAAATAAATGTCTTCTCGTCTTAGGTTTAGAAAATAAATGTATTCTCCTCTTAGGTTTAGAAAAGAAATGTCTTCTCCTCTTAGGTTTAGAAAAGAAATGTCTTCTCCTCTTAGGTTTAGAAAAGAGGGCGAGGCCTTGAGCCTCAAGTTGCACAGACTAAACGCCTGTCCTTTTAGGCCTTCTAGGACACAGTTTGGCCTTCAAGAACAGATTGTTTCTACTACATACCCAGCAGACCTTCTAGTTCTACAACAGATTGCTTGTTCATACCCAGCAGACCTTCTAGTTCAACAACAGATTGTTTGTACATACCCAGCAGACCTTCTAGTTCTACAACAGATTGTACATACCCAGCCAGCAGATGCTCGGATTTCCTTAGCAAGAACAGCTGGTTTCATAATTATGTCGTTTGGACTCCAAACCAACCCCTGCGTCAGTTACACACAACTCCACTGGAACAATTCATGTTGGTAGCCTGAGAACTCCAAGTCCTTCTCTCTTTTCTCCGATATCCTTTTTCTACCTTTTCTATTTTACACCATGTTCCTATCCTAAATCTTTATTTCTCATGCTCCAGTCCAGCACAGTTTGCAAGAAATTAGGTGACAAGAAAAGTATTATTCTCTCTCTCTCTCTCACGTTCCCCCTCCCCTTTTTCTGTGTGTCTCTACTTCCTGTCTCTGTGAGCTGCGGGGCTGTCAGGAAGAGGCAGTCCAGGGTGGTCAGCCTGCCCCCCCACTCCCCCGTCCTCTCCTCCACTCCTCTCTTCCACTCCTCCCCCCTTCACACAGCTATCCTTCAGGTATGGCAGTTTTAGTTCTAGACCCACCCTCTCTTCTCTTCTTGTCCCACTTCTCTCTCTCTCTCTCACTCGTAGTTCCTCAACAGTCAGATCTGGCTTTTTCTTATTTTCTCTGTAAGGAGTTTGGAAACTAAAACTAATATACAGCGTTACGTCTTGATTGGGTTTAGTACGAAGAAGAAGGCGTGTTTTAGCTTAAACAGATCCAGATGCCGACCTCTTTAATCTCCCCTCAAACCCAGATCCCGACCCGGGGAATGTAGGGTAGTATAGCATGTGGTGGGTTTCACTACTGCTAGTGCACACACTGCACAATGGCATTCTTATTCCCCCCTTCTTTTATAACCTGGATCTAGACTTTAAACTATAGTGAAATGCAGGGTATGCAGGGTTTCACTGCTAGTGCACACTGCACAATGGCATTCCCCCTTCTCTATCTAGCCTGGAACCAAACTGAATTATTCACTCTTTTCACACTATAATGAAACGGAGCAATTCAGTTTAAATCTTCTCTACTCCTCATTTCAATGCTTACTTCTGATCAAACATGTGCAACATATTTCCGAGTTGTGTATGTCTATGAACTGCATACTGTATTGGGAAATCAATGACTAAACAGATCCCTGCCCATAGATGTATTGTGTTTGTAATGTAGGCTACAGTGCATTTAAATCATCGTCAAATGATTGTATATAACTTTTGGGAGTTTCAGCCAGTGGGATTACTTTGATTGTTTTTGAATGAGCTGTCACTGATAATCTAAACAAATGATTTTCCTCTTTTTGTTTATCTAACGCAAGACCGTAGCGGAGCAGATGCTTCCTGTTAGTGGAGTGTGTGACAATCTTCTGGGCAGTGGGTTAGCAAGAGGAGAGAGAGAGAGAGAGAGAGAGAGAGCGAGAGAGAGAGAGGAGGAGAGAGAGAGAGAGGCTCCTCTCTCTCTGGAGAGAGAGAGAGTTGTGCTCTCTCCTATTTTTTGTTTCCGCCTATTGAAGAGGTTTCTTTCTTTGAGTTCTGTTCCTTCGCTCTCTTTTTTGTTTGCCTTCTCTCTTCCTCTCCCCTCCCCTCGCTTTCATGAGAGAGAAGGGAGGAGGGGGGGGATGCTTGAGACGCAGTAGACCAAGGTGCGGTCTCGGGGTTCGACCAGCGCGCCCTCTTTGGCAGAGAGCCGCCGTTGCTCCACTCTCCTCCTCTCAGAGTTAGAGAGAGAAGTGAGCTAGTGAGGTACCAGAAGAGAAGAGAGGAGAAGGAGGAGGGGGGGGGGCGAGCGAGGGGGCGAGAGGAAAGAGGAATAGAGAGACACACCTAAACAGAGAAAGAAGGAAAGAGTGTGCGAAATATATACTATACAAAGGTTAGAGACTGAACCACAGTGAGCTAGTGCACCATGGGTAAATTAAGCCTAAGTGACTGCTGTAATCCATGAGAGGAGAGTCAGGGGGACCCTTACAGACTATGAAAGGACAATTCCATGCCAGCATGGTCCAAAAATACTTTCGGTATCACATACTGTATTGTTCTGGCAATTTTCACATAAAAACAGCATTGGGAGAAAGGATGTTTAAAATGCTTTTTACATTTGTATCACATCCATTTTTGAGAAAATTATGACGAAAGTGGACATTTTAGGCCCTTTTTAGTTCCACAAAAAAAATGGAAAAACAAACACCGCTGCCACAAATGTAACATGTCGTTTGGAGGGTCCATAGAGTGGACCATCAGCTATAGGAAAGATAAGACTTGGACATGAGACATCATATGGAGCTCAACAGGACATGACTTTATTCCAGGACATGCGACCACCATCTCAATTAGTGACACAGATGAATTTATAGACATAGGTCTGCAATTAGTAATCAATGATGAACATCCAATTCTCATCCTTACACATGCCTCCTGTTAGACCAGGGGTGTCAAACGTCCGGCCCGCGGGCCGTATCAGGGCCCGCAAACGGGTTTAATCCGGCCGGCGAGATGATAAAAAAAATCTTTAAAAAAAAATTGTAAAGTATAAAAATACGCTGCAATTTTTCTATAAAATAAACTGCTGTTCCAATTGCGTCCACTGGATGGCGCAATAGCAATTGTGTTAAGCAAGCAAACTGTTTATACCGGGGCAGAGCAAGTAGGTCAAGCACGTGCAGCCAATGAGCTACTTTGTTTTGCCCGCAATATTTATTACGGCTTCTACTTTTAACATTATGTGCATTGGCACCCTCATTGCCCCAATATGTCTCTGTCAAAAAAGAGAAAAGTGGACGCAGAGTGCAGAGTGTTCCAAGAAAAATGGTCATCCTATTTATTCACGGAATTGAATGGGAAAGCTGTATGTTTGGTGTGTTCAGAGCATGTTGCAGTGCTGAAAGAATATAACCTTCGTCGCCACTATGTGAGTCTTCATGCCGACAAATATGACAACTTTCAAAGACAGCGGAGATGAGAGAAGGTGAATGAACTGTTGGCGGGTCTGAAGAAACAGCAGTCTGTGTTTACTCACAGCCGAGACATCAGTGACGCTGCAGTGA